TCGAATTTTATGTACCTAGTCGTAGTTTAAGATCTGAATCAAAGTTTCTTATTAAAACTCGTCAGGTGTGTAGTAAAAAGTCCAAGGTGTTATACAAAGACCGTGCTTTTGAAAATTTAGGTCCTAAACTTTTTAATGAATTACCTCTGTCTGTTCGTTCTAGTCCTTCAGTAGACATTTTTAAATCCAGACTGAAAACGCACTTATTTAAATGTGCTTTTAATATTTGACTGATTGTTTATTGTATCAGCGCCTTTGATCTTCATATGTTGGAATTGTTGCGCTTAATTAAATAAAGTTATTATTATTATTAATGAAATAGAATCTTTGCATTAATTCTAAAATTATGGAGAAATGTCTGAGGGGTGGTGTATGAGTGAGATTTACTGTAATCTGCAGTTTTGAGCAATAAAGATGGTACCGAACAAAAAACAAAACCGTACATAGAAAATGTGGAGTCTTTTGTGCCAGTTTCAACTAAAAAAATGTCTAATTTAATATTGCAATGCATTGGCCTCATTTATTGCATTTTGCCAACTATTATTATAATGGAGAATGACTTGATTTAAACTGCCTGTGAAATTCCCACCTACATTTGTTTCTTTCTAATGCCCTAGAATGGATGTTTTACAAACTTGAAATGTACTAATACAAGTTATAGAAATGTCGAAAGTTTTACTGGAATGCTGCACCACTGTCTGAACCTTCAGGAGAATCTGGTTTAAACTTTTCTCCATTAAGCTTTCTCGTCCAAATTTTTTTTTCTTGTATTCCCAATATTTCTGGACATAAACCCTCATTTTAGAGCCAACATGTATGGTTTTCTGAAAGAAAGTGCATACTAAACTGCTTGATATAATGATAAGGTCTGATTGATGCCAGAATATGTCACCTGGGCACTATAAATGCAATTCAACTTTTTGTAATTTACTAATTGAACTGTTACTATGGCGACATAAATTGATCATAACATCAACAAACTCCTAATCATAATAGATGAGTTTTTGTGATCTATGGTGTCTTCATGAGCAACTGCTGGCAATGCAGGTCTTAGCAATTTTATAGTATATACTGGTACAGTTCCAGAGTACACCATATTCTACCTGGTTTCTTTACTGGAAAACTTTTGACCATGGCTTGTATAAAGAATGCTTCTCATAAATACTTCAAAGGTACTGTAAGCCTCTGATTATTAAAAAGATAAAAAGCCATTGCACGAAACATCTAGCTATCTTTAATAGTTACTTAGAACTACGATTATGAAATATTTTCTACTATTCATCTCTATTACTAAGGCCACTCGTAAGCGCCTAAGAAACCGAATCGTTACAGGCCTGGTACTGTTGCTTTGAGAGAAATTCGCTAATACTAGAAGATCACGGATGTGCCTGTAGGAAAGTTGCAATTGTTTGTTTCCAAAGTGCATCAATTGGAGCCCTTCAAATAAGTTGTGGAATATCTACCAAGGGTAAAATGAGATAAAATCCTAGTTGATTTTAATATTTGATAATCTATCAGTATTTGCAAAAGCCGGAGAATATTGCCTAAATATTACATAATATATATACATAATATAATAGTAATGAGACACTACTTGAGCTCCCTTGTCATAATTTGAGACATTTTTCATGTGAGTTTTATTTCAGAATTTGCATAAGCAGCTCTATGCATATTTTAACAGATATTTTGTCCGCAAATCCTCAGTGTTTCCTCCGTGCTATTTTAAATCCACTGCAAATTAATGCTACCCGCTGAATGGAATAATTTACTAGCACTATCATTTCATATTTTGTATTGTATTAAAATATTGTATTGTTCTTTTTCTAAATCTTTAAATATATTAATTCATTCTATAATAAATTGCTCATACCCACCAGTATAAATATAACAATGGCCTGGAATAATGGTTTCGTCATGTCTGGTTTGAATATAGCTGACCTTGACAGAAATATGTATGCCATGTCTCTCCAACCTGCCACTTGGTGGCGCTATAACACCCAGTAGAAATTTCCCAGGTGTCAATAAATATACATAATCTCTGGTTTTCAATTTTATTTAGAAAAATTCACTAAATTCATGCAAGATGTAGAACAATCAAACTCATTGTTTTCCTGCCAAGTTCGTAAACCTAAAAACATCAAAATAGTAAAATTAAATGTCAGTAAAAATAAATGGTTTTACATTATCTAAATTTGATCAACCACTTTTTACTGTCTATTAAGATACACTGATAACGATACTCGTTTCCAATGTCCAGATTTTGTGAATTTAAGTATATAGTGCATTGTTTAATAATATTTTGGGTATGATGCAAAATAATATTTCAAATCACAAATAATTCCAAAACCCATGCACTATACTTACCACCCTCACTGTATAATCATTATTATTGCAATAAAAAATTGTTGTGACGACTATACTTTACTAATTTTACTCAAAATGGGATACAGTATTATTTTGCAAAAATCTGAAATTTTTATTTTTGGGGAGCCTTTTCAAATCATTTTATCCACAATATTTGTAATTTTATGTGTATTTCATACAAATTGATAACATTGAGAGTTGTTCTGGATGGCGACATTCTGATTTAATCATGTTTATAGTAAATTATTTGATTTGCTTATTTAAAAAAAATTTTGATTATAGAGTTGCAACAGTATAAGCTTGTAATGAGCAGTAAAGTTACAGATTTAACCTTTTCACCACCAGTTCCCTCTTTTCATTACAATTTTACAACATAGTCTTGTTTATAGTCTACACTTCCCTTCAGAAGACTAGTACAAAAATAGCCAAATTTTTATTAAAAAAAAAAGTCACATTTTGGTAAATATTTCAAATTTGAAACGATGCAAGTAGTTAAAATTTATGAGTTTGGAAAGAGCCATCAAAATTGAACGCTAAATATTTGTTTTGGAGATTGTATTTATTGTATGAAAAGACTTTATATCCAGAGGAATAGGAGATCTTTTATCTGCCCCCAAACCATCTATAAATATATATTTTGAGAAATTCTTGTACCTTTAGTGAATAGATTAATAGGGATATGGGGTGCCCCTATTTTCAAATGGAATATGCTATAAAAGTCCTAGAACGTTTCTAGGAGTCCTACGCACCATGTGATAGCAGTACACGTGTGAATATTTACCTTTCGGGATTTGAAGTCATTATTCTCACAAAATTTGCATACCGAAATTGTGGCAAGTGGACCCTATATGCCAGATTTGCATAACGATAAATTTATGAATATTATATACCTTGGAAACCAATGACCAACAATGCATTACAGGTAGTTCAATGGGCAGCATGTCTGTCAAATCAGCATGTTTGGTGAGTTCTAAGTTCATACCCAACCCTTGTGGTTTCTTCTAAGCACAGCTGGTCAGTGTGTCATCCTTACTAGTAATGAAAGCCCTAAGACAATTTATGAGATTTAACCCGCGTAAATGAGTCAGACTTGGGAAACAGGACATTTAGTGTACTGTATATAAAGTTCTACAATAGAGCATTCTGATTGGCTGAGAAGCACTAGGTGGTTTTAAAGTTTTTATAATTAAACATGGGTTTGTTGACCTTATTGTGATAATGTAACACTACAGTTGAATATAATTGTATTGAAGACAAAGACACAGACTCGATTATTATTGACATGATACAGTAAATCAGTATGTAATAAGTAATTTATACATTTACAACAATACTTAAACATGAGCATATCATACTAGTAGAGTTCAGTTTACAGAAGTATTCAGTTTGTAGTGGTCTCACAGGGAAACCAGTCTATGAGACCAAAAATTTGTTTAGTTTACAGAGGTGTAATTTGGATTCTGACAGTTTTCTATATATGGAAAAGGCACTCAAAAAGAGAAATACATAATACTACATAGTACCCAGCAGCAAACTTCATATTTCGACTGCCTAGAACTGCAGAATATCCAGCAGCAATATTGTCTGGAACTGCTGAGTACTTGATAGCTATGTTGCATGTCACATTTACCACACACAATCAATTTTGGTCATCTGTGAATGTGTTAAACTGTGAAAGGTTTCATTTCACATGGAAGTTAAAAATGTTCAAGTTGGTAGCACATCAAATTATTTATGTGTTGTCACTCTTCTCTTGTATACGTTTCGCAGCATTAAAGCCAGCTTGTAATTCAGCCATTCTTTGTTCTAATGGTTTCTCAAGTTCTTTGTCAATTTCAGTTTCTTCACGAAAGGCAGCCCAAATTAGTATTGCACTAAGAGTTACACTTATCAATGCCACCCTCCATTTGGGTTGTTGATGTCGACTACCAAGGCTTTCATCAACTGTCCATTTCAAAGCTCCACTACTTGTATAAGGGATAGGCTTGTCATCGTCTTCTATTTGATTGTCATGCTGAGTCTTGCCGGAGCTGTATCTTGCAGTAATTGTTGACAAACCAAAAACTCTAAGGATAGACAAGAATTTATAGCCAGAAAATAAAAAAATGTCTGTCTAAAAACTTTATTGAAATGAAAGATAGCAGTCCCTAGTTTGTATGCCAGACTTACAATCAATTTGTTGTTGATTACCAGGTACATGTATTTATACTTATTTTGTAATTTACAGGTAATTTAACAACCTATACATCATCTGATATAGACGAATATGTAAGGCATACACCGTACAAATGTTTGTCAAAGATTAATTGATAGGTAATATGCAAGATAAATTATTTTTGACACTTATTCTTAAAATAGATTAAAATCAATTTGATTGTATCTATGTGCCATATAGTGTTTACAAAACAAAGAGCGAGAGAGAGAGCAATCAATTATAGCAATAATGAACTCAAAATGGACAACAAAAATTAAAGTGACATGGAAGTTGTAATTTTAAATTAATATTGTCTAATAAATATCAGGCATGTTCATCCAATCTGCATTCAAGGCCTAAAGCTCTTACAATATCAGAAATAATTTGTCCTCCAACAATTCAATTTCAAGATTATTTACATTTAACATAGCAAAGTAATTAACAGTAGACTACTGTAAACAATATGATGCCATGTTGTCAGCACTTAGTGTTGAATCTTTACAACTGAATTGGTGACTAATTGAATAAAGTTCCAGTGGGACAGAACGATGTAGTTTTTCACTTCCTCCTATTTTTTGTCGATACCAATCAAATTGCAGGAACGTAAGACAGCCATCAAAGAGTAACAATATATGGCAGAGTTTATTTGTTTGTTGACATAATGTGTGATAAGGTGCTGGCAAATTTTCGCCCAATGTTTAGCATTTTTTTATTTTTGCTGTCAATGCAAATGCGACTTTGATTGATGGTGTTGCTTTGACCACCAAAATTAATATTCATTGAAACTCATTGCAAGAAGGCGTGAACTTTGCTAATTCGTTCTATTGATCTTGCCGACGAGACATACACTATTCTGTCAGGCGTTAGTGAGGTCTGAAACCGTTCGGCCGACAAGGGCCTACTCACACCTACATGTCATGCTAGGCCCACAAACACATAGTTATTTATTTATGCTAATAGTACAACAGCATAGTCAATATGATTGGTCACAGTTGAAATATGCAGATTTCACCTTTAAATCACTGACCTCTCAATCGGGGCCCACAAGCTCTCCTGTATTTAAAACTCGTTAACATACTAACTTTGCATTAATTCATGTTTTTGCCATATTTCTTCAAATTATGTATGTACAATTTTTTCTCCCAAATTATCAGCTAACCATTTTTAAATGGGTAATCCTTAATCATGGACCTTGACTGAAGAAACAACTTAAAAAAGCAGACCCAACTTTTGTTCGGTCCGAAAAGCACAGTCTTTCTATCACGAGATAGAGGGACTGTGGAAAAAGTAATCATTGTTGAGGCGTCAAACAACACGAATAACACATACACCCTCGTAACATTGAAGATGCGCTTCGCTGAGGGCGATATATCACAAGCACTTCTTCTATACAAATTTCGACATAGATCACTAAAATGCAATGTCAATGAATATGTACCGTCACATAATGGATCTATGACCAAACACAAGTCGGTGCATTTACCTGTTTTGAATTAAACATTCGCCGGGAAGGATTTTTCTGACAAAACGTGACAAAACTGTTGTAGACATGGACGACGCCATATTGGTTTCGGTGATCTACAGTTTGCAGCATGTCGCAAATTCAAATATCGTCATTTTCATTAAATGAGTAGGGATAATGCAATTTGACATAATTTGGAAATAAACAGTATAGTATATAGTGTATAATTCCATGAGAAAGATGTCAGGTCAAGTACTGTGTAAGATATGTAGCAATGTCATGTGATTGCTTGTGCATTTTGCGATAAGTCGCAAAAGAAAAACAACGTATGGCGCCCTTCTCGAAATCGGAAATGTTTACGAAATGCGTCTTTACAGTAGTTCGCATGTCACATCGGAATTTCAAATCTGAATACTTCTGAATTGTAGAATGAACACTGCCAACCATAAACAAACTTTTTCGACTTCAAATGATTTGGATTTTAGCTAAAACACGGTACCTTGAGTTAAGTAAGTTTACATGGAATATTGTGCTGACCGCGAAAATGGCAGGAAGAGTCACCAGAGTGTTAAATGTTGCGGAAAAAAATGACGCTGCAAAGTCTCTAGCAGATGTCATGTCCAGGGGACATTATAACAGGGTAATTACACAACACATTTGATGTTTTCAATGTTAATCACATATTTAAATTTCTGACAAGATAAACCATCTTATTATTAATGACCATTTGACCGCTCTAAGTTACACACAACATATCGTTGTATGAAAAAATACAGTCCGCAAATTAATACACAAGATTTACTGCCAGTGATGACGTTAACCAAAATGCATAGTTTGAAGAAATTAATAACAATAATTATCACATTGCCAAAATGTTGAACATTTTGAAATGTTCATATGTTGGATATTGTATTGATTCATGTGAATGCCTTCTCTGTATCTGCATAATCAATGGAGTATTAACAATTTATTGATAGACACTGACTGCTAAGGTCAGTGAGTGAATGTGTCGGTTCAAAAAGGACATTTTTTTTTATATCTCCCAAAATATTGGAAAAATTAGGTGAAAACAAGAACAAATGCATCAATAGAGTTTTGGTAC